TCATATAATAAAGAATAAGTTTTAAAAATATAATAATCTTGTCTATCTTGAATTAGTTTTCTATATGAATTCTATTTCAACTAATATTACTATATATCTTGAATTTTCTGTGTGAATTTTTTTAATATATTATATAATATAACTAGAAAGATTATAAACAGAAAGACTTAATAGAATCTTAGAAAAAATATTTAGAATTTATATAATATATAAATAAAATAAATGAAATAAAAATCTTACAATAGCTGAATTTGCTTATAATAATAATAAAAATACTTTAACTAGTTATATATCCTTTAAATTAGATTATAAATAAATATCTTATATATTAATTAATATTCTATCACTTCAAAATAATATTATAGTTTTACAAAACTTCATGAAATATTAAAATATCATGATCAAGACTAATAAAGACTTGTTACTTGAAGTATAAGAAAAATAAAATAAATATATAAATTAATATAAAAGATTTAAAGAATTTAATTTTGGAAATAAAATTCTTCTTTTCACTTATAATATAAAAATTCCAGTAGATAAATAAAGAATAATTAAGAAATTCATATTAAAATTTATTAAACTCTTTGAAATTATTACAAAAATATCTTCTATTATTTATAAATTGTAATTACTAATAAATATAAAATTATATCTAGTATTTTATATATTATTACTAAAGAAATATAATTCAAATGATAAATATAATAGATAATAATTATCATCAGTTATTATTATCTCAGATAATAAAAAAGAATATAAAGTAAAAAATATTTTTAATAAAAGAATTTATTATTATAAATTCTAATATCTTATTAAATAACTTAATTATTCTTTTTATAATATAATTTGAGAATTTCTTGAGAACTTGAAAAATATTATTACAAATTATATTTGTGAAGATAGATTTTACCAGAAATATGATCTATAATAAGTTTTGAGAGTAAAGACTGAATGATTTATAAAGATTAAGGAGATAATGATTATTTTAAAAATTTTTAAATATCAATATTTATGAATATTATATCAATACAAGATAAAAATGAAATAAAATAAAAATAAAGTTGTGATTATAAAAACTATACTAAGAATAGATATCAAAAACTAAAGTAATAAATACTATAATAAAAATAAAAAATTTAGTATACTGATTAAATTCTTTAATAATATCTTTTTAATCATTAAACAAATAAAAAGTATATATCAAAATAAAAATAAAGCTTTTATATATGGAAAAGCTTATAAGAATCTTCAAAATCAAATAAAATATACTTAATTTATTTTAAGTGAAGAGCATCTACTATTTATATTTTTCAGGTAAGAAAAATATATAATTAATCAGAATATAATTTATTATAATAAAAGAGATAAATAAAAGCAGAATATCAAGATAAAGATCAAAGAAAAATTATAAGATAAGTATAACTCAAGTATTTTTAAAGATAATTGAATTATTATTATTCAAGTATATTTATTCATATCTCAGAACAGAGATATTTATATATTTTTAAGATTTTATAAATTTTTATCTAAATTTATTTGCTATTTTAATATATAATTACAAGTTTGCAACAAAAAATTAATAAATAAATAAGTAAAATAATAAGATAAGATATATATAATAAGTTAAAAGATAATATAAATGATGAAATAAATTAAAAAGTTAAGATAAATATTTTAAAAAGAAAAGATAGATAATAAAAATAAATTAATTTTTTTGTTAAACTATTTCTGAAATATTTCTAAATTGTTATTAAACTATTTGTGAACTGTTGTTAATTCTTGAGCTAATTATTCATTCATAATCTTGAAATATTATTAAAATATTACAGAAATATTACAAAAATATTGCTAAATCATGATTAAATTTATAATTAATATACCAATTAAATCATTTGAAATTACATATCTTTTAAAGATTACTTAATTAGTCAAAAATTTCAAGTTTGAAAAATTATGAAATTAAAAAAATTTATATTATTATGATAATAATATCATGAAGAAGATTAATACTTTTGAGAAGTTATATATTTAAATATAATATGAATATTATACTTTAAGTAGAGGAATATATAATAATTTTGATTAGATTATTTCTCTTTAGTTCAGATTTTTATTTTATATTATTTGTGTAATAGATTAGTTTCTATATTATTTTTTATAAAAATTAATTTCATTCTAAATATATAAATAATAATTTATATATTTAATATATTAGATTTAATATACTATTATGCAGATAATTATTATGTATACTTATATTATTAATTTAGATAATTAATATTTTTAATTAAATTTCTTTTTTTAATATTCTTTTATATTTTTACTCATTCTTTTCTTTTATTATTTATATTATTATTTATTATATTATTAATTATTGAATTATGATTAGTTATCTTCTAGAAATAAGAATTAAGATAATTAATTTTATTCAACTATATATACTTTTATTAAATTAATTATTTATAATTATTTAAATTTCATATTCATTTTATTTTCTATAAATATATATCTTTTATTCTGTAAATTAATCTTAAATCTGAATATATTTCAAATAATAAAATTATAAGTTATAAATTGAATATATTCATATTATATTTTATCTTGTTTATAATTATTAACAAAATAAACTTATAATATTATAATAGATTTAAGTTTAAAGTTTTAGAATTTTTAATAATTTAAAAAAGTAACTTATCTATTGAGATTTGATTTTTCACTCTTTGAAAAGTTTTTTAATTTATATTATTTTTGTTAATTATATTTTTATTATTTATTTTCAATAATATTTAATTATGATATTATATGTAATATTATAATTAGTTAATATTTATAGTTATATAATTTGGGATTATATTAAAAATAATATAATATTATTGATAATTAAGCTGAAATGATAGTGATTATAGTATAAATAAAAATAAATTTAATATAAAATTAATTAATAAATAAAAAATATAATTATATTAAAAATATAACTATATTAAAAATATAAATATATTAAGAGTAATTATAACAAGATATAATTGTATATATTTTTATGAATTTTCTTTAATAATTAATTAAATAAATAATTTAAAATTTTATTATAAGAAAAAAATAAATAATTAAATATATTTATAAATAAATAGTTCTTAAAATTTTTTTGAAAATCATTTATTTATTTATCAGTTTATTTATAAAATTAATTAAATTAATAATATTAATTTAGCTGATCTAACTATTATAATAATTCAAAATTTTATTATGAATAAATATTTATATTATATAATAATTTTTATTTATTATGATATGAAGTATACAAAACTAAATTACCAAGAATTTTCATAAGATTGGTCATTCAGATGCTTCATAACCAAAATATAGTAAATTTCACATAATTCAAATTTATTTAAGTCATATAGTAAATATTATCAGATGATTATAGAATTATTATATGATCTATACTTCTGGAAATTACTCTAGTTAATTTAAGTTATCTCTTTAATAAAAAAATTTTTTGCATGAGATAATTTTTCTTAATCATTTAAGTAGATAAATTTGCCTGCTAAAATAGAATGATGATAGAAAAAAATGATAATCAAATGATATGATTTAATTTGTGCAATTTTTATTTAAAAAATCTTAAATATTAATTATAACTAGCTTATAATACATATTTTGATTTCTAATACTTTGTTTTATATTCTTTATTATCTATAACTAGCTCAAGGTATTTTGATATTGATCATACTAATTTTTGACATAATGCCACATCAATTTTTTCTTACTTCTCCTTTATTATTCTAATAAAAACCTCTTGTAATATGAATTTTTTTCATAAATCATCAAGTTAACCCTTTTCTCCATCCTTTTTTTTATAATTAACCACAAGTTCTTAATTGGATTGAGATCTGATAAGTATGATAACCAATCAAGCATATAGGGATACTGATCATTCAATAAAATGATTGTAAGCTTAGCATATTACTTAGAGTCATTATCTTGTTAAAATGTTCACTTGTCACCAAGAATTCAATTTGCTTGCTCAAATAAATTTTCAGTTAGTATTTCATAATATAATTCACCATTCATAATTTTTACAAAAGTTTTAAATCCAACAATTCCCTTCATGTAGAATGCTCCTCACACATGCACTTTAAATAGATATTTTATGATTTCTTGAGTTGGCACTGATTGTCCAGCTTTATAATGAATCTGAATCATATTCTGAAACATTTGGAAGGTGGATTTATCAAAGAAAATTATAGTATTCCATCATTTTTTTTTTGATATTTTTTCATCCAGATAAGCTGATGTTATTTCACTAATTTCATGAGAAAAGGAACCTTTTGTGGAATACAAACCTTAAATCCAAGTTCTTGTAGGTTTTGCCAAACTATTCGTGGTGCTATATTTAAACTGAAATAAGTATTATTGAGAGTTTCCACTATCTTCTTGCTCATTGCACTTTTTTTTAGTCATAATTTGCCCAAGATATTTCTGTTGCCCAAGGCTAAGTTTTTTTGGATGACCTGAACATTGGCCTTGCTTTGGATCATTTGTTTTGGCAAGCTTGGCAGTCCATCTGTATAATATTTTGGTAGGAAATCCAGTTATCCTTCAAAGTTTGGCAACTTCCCTATATCCACGTTCTCATAATGACTTGACAAGAAAATGTCTCCTTGTGAGAAAACTCATGTATAATGATAATAATGATGAAAATATTTTTTATCCATCTTAAATCACATAATAAACATACCTGTAACTGGTTTTAGTGTTACTGTAACGTAAAAAAAGATCTGGTGACATAATTTCTAAAACAAAAAGAATTGTTACTTTTTTCCGCCACCACTGTAGATGGTTTAAGGGATAATTTTAATGGTATTTTTAATAACAATATGTCTTAAATAACTTGTTCATATCATAAAAACATATATTTGCAATGTTCATATAATTCTATTCATTCTTTATCATATAATTGATAAAAATTCCAAATCTTTATGACAGCCAATGTATTGGCATCATAAAGAGGTATCAGCATCGTATGATATCTCAGCGCCCTAAAAAATATTTTGGTTTCCAAATACTTTTGGCAATCTAAGATATTTCGGTATCCTAATTTTAAGTTTACAACCAGTGTTGTACACGACGAACATAAACAGCCCGGACCGCGTCCACTTCTGTGCCCGCAGCGAACGGACAAGTTGATCTCAGGAAAAACAAGTGATATACCGGCATTAAAACACGGACATCAATGTTCGGACTGTCTCATCCATCTCCGTGTTCGTTCCCATGACTCGAGGTCATATCGAATGTAAATATATTTTAAAAATGTATTCGAAATATAAATTTCGAATATATTTATATTCGATAATACAACTTATTCAGGTTCCAGATAATGTTTTGAAGTTGCCCAGCAGTTGGACTGTTTTCTGGAATAGGATCTCATCATTTTTCAATAATAAATTTGCACCATCCGGGAACATTATTATAAATGTTTAATACGAGACCTTCATTATGATTTCTCTCAGCAAATAGCAGTTCACCTGCTACAATCTCGTATATAACTATCCCAAAACTATAAATGTTAATGTATGCTTTTCTAATTACACTTCTGAACTCATATAAGAAGGTACTCTACAAATCACTTTTCTTTATTCATTTGAAAGCTAAGTTCGAAATCGAAAACGGTTGTACGCATTTTCAATATATTTCCAGATAAAAACTTTTCCAAATGATTATCTAATTATCCTTAAATATTCTAATTTTTCAAGGCAATTTTTGTAGTTGGAATTAACAAATTATATGTCTTTTATAGAGGGCTTACCATTGAGTATGTGAATTTTAATTACATGTATTCTGTACTATTACTATCATCTGCAGTCTGAATCTACTGAAATACACGTATTTATATTATCAGAATCAAAAGCAACTTTTACTTTAAAAAAAATTCATTTCTTTATCTTGTGTATAAACTCTGGAGTAATTTGCTTTGAATTGTGTAATGAATTTAACACAACTTCTATATTATTTATATTTATTTTCTTCATTGTCCTATTCATCCAATGGTCTATCCAACCAGGTTATTTTATAAATTGACCCAAAACCGCCTTTGCAAGATATTCGCATTAGGTTGTCGATATCTTTATCTCCCATTTCTTTGACAATAGTAACATTACTACAATCATGGATTTTCGCTTCTATCTTTGATTTCACTTTATAAAATGCGTTTAAATTAATATATGCTTGAAATGCTAGCGATAGTAAAAACATACGAACCGAGATAATCGTTATACGTATGTGTGGCTCTAAAAAAAACGACGTGCATTAACGTTTAAAGTTCCTTATTTCCAACACAATTAGACAAATCAAGACGCAACATGAATCACTAAAAATAACGATAACAAGCATATTAGAAACTTCTAAACCACCTTAAAAGCCATGATCAAAAACTGAATTTCATTCGAATTGAATTCGAATATTCAGATTTTACAAACTCTATTCGAATACAGTGGTCGTTATAAGATTCGGAGTTTTTAAATTTGCTTATCAATTATATGATAAAAAATGAATAGAATTACATGAAAATTTGCAAATATATGTTTGTTTTGATATGAAAAAAACTATTAATGTAGCTAAATTTATATTTTATTGATTATTTGATGAAATAATGTCAGAATTATGTCAAAATTTATAAACATATTTTTTGTAATGATGAACAGCTTCATTGATAATAATATGAGCTCAAAACTTTGTTGGATCTGACTTAATTTTTTTATAATAAATTTTGCTGAGAAAAGTGTAATAATAAATGTAATTAATAATAATTTTATAAAATATTTTGAGCAAACTTTATTTACAGATTATAAAGAAGATGTGTCTAAATTATCAGGCAATTTTGACAATTTATTAAAATTACGAATATTTATGACGACCATTGTACCGGTTGACAATTGGTTGTTGATTGGTACGGCGGTAAAAAAAATATATTAATTATAACGATAAGTCCGAAATGAAAGCAAAATAAAATATTTTGAGAAGTATTTTTTTTTCTCAGGCTATTACTCTATGTACTACAAAATTCACAAAAAAAGATAAATGTTAATTTTAAATAAATTTAATAAAATATAACTTTGAAAATTATTTTCTAAAACGTTTTATATCAAGTAAATGTATTAATAATGATAAGTTTACTTAGATCTTTATTTCATTAAGAGGTCGAACAAATATCGAACGCAAAATGTTTGTTTTAAAATCCAAATAAGGGAATACTCACTAAATAAGCCAATCATTAAAAAATTTTTGTCAAGTACATTTCTGAGAGATTAAAAATAACGTCATTAATATATTTTTAGATCATAACATTAAATAATGAATATTAATATCCTAAATTCTTTATTTTAACAAACACTGATAATATACCGATACATGTACATAAGTATAGATTTCTTTCAAGAATTTCTTTTGTAAATCTTAAACTTTGCATACGCAAATTCGTGCATACTACTTAATCGCTTTCCCACAAAAAATGCTAATAGTGCATCTAAATAAGTCATGAGATTTTGTTTTCTACTTGAATACAAGGCAAACTTGTTAAGACGAAATCCAAAAATGTACTAAACAGAATTTTTTTGATCCCAGTTTTGTTGTTATGTATATTCGGTTTTACACAAGTGTAGTAATACGAAAGCCGAATACTTGGAACTACACCGAGATCTTCGGCTTATCATTATAGAGTTAGGGGGCAAGTGTTACACATTATCATTAGATTTGAGGATTACGCGGTAAAATCCCAAAGATGCAGGGAGAAGCTCTATAGGAAAACGCTGCGGGAATGCCGCATTCTCCCGTGGATAAATACCATTTTTTTTTTGATAATTATAAGGTTTGAATTGCTAGTGGCGTTTATTTACAGAAATTTTACTTAAATGAAATTAATATTTTTCTATCGTTCTATAAAGATTTGGCAGAATGGTTTTTTCCAATTAAGAATACTTTGTAGATTTAAGATTAGAATATATCATTAAAGTTTCAATTATTTGTAAACGAATCGATCATCCGATATGAAAAGCATAAAGTTTTAGAATAGAATTAACCAGTGAAAACTTAAAATTTCGATAGAGAACTAATTATCAAAAAAGATGCTTCTTTACATGACATATGTGCAACTTTTATACAGGGATTTTATAAACAATGAGCCATGAAACAAATCAAATACATGTATGTAAATGAGCTTCGAATGTGCTTACCTATTTTCTATACAACAATGCTTTAGTAAAAGCACAACATATGGGTTAAATATGCTCTGGAACGGTCAGTACTGGCTTAAAGGTTAGAGTTCGTATCGTACGATTGTTTATATAATACAAATCGGCACTTTAGGAAATACTTAAGGTTCATAATCTTATATAATGCATATTCTAAAACCAATAAAATAAATAATAACACATTTATCTTCTTATAGATTGGAAAATTTCTTCATTATTCTAATGTAAATAGAAGCGCCCTTACAATTTTTTACAAACACAATTAAATAAAAACAAACCTGCTTTGACTCTGGATCATTTTACTATTTTATTCTCTATATAAAAACATAATTAAGTTTTGATATCTTTTTGAAAATTTTCTTGTTTTCTATTTTAATGCAAAGAAACGCCCTCACATTTACTCTGGACCATAATTTTTAATTTCAATATAGCATTTTCATAAGCCTGACCTGACCCAGTTTCAATATAAAAAATAACATTAAAGTTACGCATATAGTTCTCTATGTTGAATAAAAACTTATCTTGACCCTGGCCCATTTTTTAAGTTCAATACACATCTTTATATCACGTCGTACTAGATATTTCCGCGCCTTTTTTGACACATGATTTTCATGTAACGGTAAGAAAATTTTCCGGATGATAATGTTTGTGATAAGTGTAGCAAACTGATAATCTTAAACAAACAATTAAAGATAACAAATCACATCATCAAATAAGAATTTATATTTACGCAATACGACATTATCTTCATTATTCACGTTAACGGAAAATTTCATTGTCTTTTTTTTAATTGAATGCGTATTAATTAAATCATATATCTAAAAAAAGAATGTGTTTGGCAAGAGATTCTAACAGATGCACCATCCATGAGATATTTCAAAGCGGCTGAAACCGGTTGAGGCAGACCAAATGAGCGAACAAAATGGTGAAACAGGAGACGAACATACAGGATAAACTCATGATTTCAGATTTCATATTTCCTAGAATAACCTTATAAGGTAAATTAAAATCAAAAGCTTTGCTTAGTTGGTTGTCCAATTGGAGGCTACACATCTTTCTTTAGGTATCAGGACATGATGCCATGAACGCATAATACGTTTAAGAGATACTCTCTAATAACATTTAAACGCCACTGTTGTATTCTCTCTTAAAGTGTTTCAACTTTTGCGTCCGAACGTCTTTTTTTGTCAGCAATGAGATGCATGCACATTATGATCTCAAAAATCTCGCATGTCCGAATTAAACTAAGGAAAATCAACAAGCACAATATTAATAAAATTGTGTATGTGAAAATGGGTAAAAAGCAAATAAATTAACAATTGCTTAGTCTCCCTTTACAACCGTTAAAAAATATGACAAATTCAAAGTCAACGTTGAGTTTGTAGGAAAAGAGAATTATTTAAAAAGGACCATATGTTTGCAAAGAAAAGCGGGCATAATAATTTAAACATCTATTTCGCGAAATTACACCCTTTGATAAATTTAAATACTAAGAAAGTATCGCCCGATCAAAAATTCTATAATAAAAATTGAAAATTTCAAGTTAATCCTATTTTCAAAACTAAATTTGACAGCTAAAGATAGCAACTAACTATTAGATTTTTCCAATTTAAGATATAAAAAAGTTATTAGTAATATAGTTTATTAATATTAGTAAATGATGACGAAATTGAAGCATTAACTTGTAGCTCTGACTGTTAGAAAGTTAATGCAAATATTTTATAATTTATTACACAAAAGTTTGTGATTTGATTAGTTCCAAACTTTGAGTTGTGATATTAAAATTGTTATAGTTAGTTTATTATATAAAATTCTATAATTTTATAGTTTCAAATTCAAAATTATGAAATCAAATATATATTTAAAAATTTGAAATAAGATTTTCTAATTTATTATTTTTAGCTTATATAGAAAGAAATTTTAATTTTATTAAACTTTATTAATAAATTTAATTGTTATATATTACTTTTA